TATATATATATATAATGTATCACTGGAGCCTTGCACACAGGTGACACCTTTCCTTCAGTTCCACTTTCATTGTACTCCATCAATGGACAATCATATTTTTCCACTACCAGCTTTGACTTCACAAACGACCGGATTCTGGTGGTCATTCCTATTGGTAGGCTGTAGATTGCTTCATTTTCTACTTTGGATGGTGATATTGGCTGAAAAGCGCCACTTATATGGAGATTGAACAGTCAGATTGTAACATGTATGGACTGCCTAAAGAAGATCTTGGGGCAAAAGTGTTCTTCAGTGGCGTCACGTGGGGGGGTTGGGTGAGGCTCGTACCTGGGTGCCACCATTAGAGGGGTGACACCAAAATGACTGACAGTCATTTTGGTGTCACCCCTATGAAAAGTCGGACACTCAGTCACGGACCCGACAGTGTCCCCTCCTCTCCCTGCCGGCGTCCACCACCAGGATGGCGGCCGGCAGGCGTCAATAAGATGACCGCGTATGTGCGATGACATCATCGCACACGCATGCTCCTAACGTCATGACCCGGTGACACCCAGCCTCGGGATGCCCCTGGTATTCTTAGCCCTTGCAGCTTCTCTCTTCAGGTTGGAAGCTGATTGGTTGCCATGGGCGACTGTCCCAGATTCTGTCTGCTCCAGTTTTGATCAGTTCCCATCAGTGTATAGAACCTGATGATTTACTGGACCTTAGACTGCTGCAGCAGAGGGGGCAGAGAAGCTCCAGGGAACTGTCTAAGAGCTAGCCGGTTCAAGGATTGGGTGATTATAACTTTTTCTTTTTTTTTTTTAGCATCTAGACAAAAACCGTCCCTTGTAGTGCCGGGTGGCCCCACTGCAAAGGTTAAGAATAATTCTGCCTGGAGTTCTCCTTTAATACACAAAGTCAGCAGGTCAAGCAGGTTACAAAACCTCTCCCACCTGTTACTCCTTGCAGAAAGTGGAAGGATTGTGGGTGAGGTTGGCATGCCGGATGGGGCATCAGTTCACATGTGTGTGCCCATGCAATGTATGACCACATGTGCACCTCCAGCCACCCTCTGTGCCCTATGAGCCCCCTCAGCCTCGGTCAGTCCTGGTCTATGACCCCTCTGGTCCCCAGACCCCACAACACCTCACAAGCCCATTTGTCTTGGTCATGGATTCAACTCATTATAAAGCCAAAACAAGAAAGTCCAAATCTGGGAATGTCTCCGTCGTACTTGGCTCCGGTTATAATACTTTGCACTCATGTTAATAAAAGCCACAAAATAAAAGAGAATAGATGACGGTGCAGCCGAGGATTCCAAGGAGAGAGAATGACTGGATGTGAAATACAGCCCGGGCTTGCCAAAAACTCACCGGGGCCCCTCAGATCTGCAACAGAGGTTCATTCGGGTGACAGCTGGCCCTGATCATCAAGATGTGTCTCACTTCTGCACCTACCTGTCCATTCTCCTGCACGATAATCTATTTTCTGGAAACATACAATTTGCTTTTATGATTTAAAAAAAAAGGAATAAAACATAAAAGCGAATTTTTGTAAGAAACAAGCTCAGCGCTTCGGATTAAACTTGATTTCTCGCCATTAGTAATTGTTTTAAGTATTTGCAGAAACAGAAGGCGAACACAGCGCGATATTAGCGCTCAGTCATTGATCAGCAGAACTGTGATCCCTACGTTCCCTATGGGCGCCGATCTCCCAACAGACGCGGAGTAATGAGCGGTGGCAGCTCAGCAAACCTTCCCACAATGAGGTATTTGGGGCCCCCGGAGTCCTGTGGCCACATCAGGAAGGATCACGTCACTTCCCAGCCTGTGAACACCCCGAATAAAGTGCACAACACCGAGCACAGTACCGAACATAGCACCGAATATAATACACAGCACCGAACATAGCTCCGAATATAATACACAGCACCGAATATAATACACAGCACCGAACATAGCTCCGAATATAATACACAGCACCGAATATAATACACAGCACCGAACATAGCTCCGAATATAATACACAGCACCGAATATAATACACAGCACCGAGCACAGCAAGGAGAAGGACACCCTGTGAATCGGAGAATGTTTCATAGAGGGAGAAGGAGTAAAGAGAAATGTGTGCTTGCTATAGTCGTGTCATTTATAAAGAGAATTAGAGGAGAAAGACTTCAATATAACAATCAAAAGAGGGAGCGAGGAACATC